TCCTGCTGATGTACGTAAAACTGAGCTAAAATGGATGTCACTTCAAACACATGCTGCTTGAGGATCCATGCTTAGTACGGTATCTGATGATTGAAAGAACTGAAATTAAACCAAAACCAGCACAGTGTGGTTTTGAAAGGGCACACCTTCCTCCTAGCCTGGTATCCAAACCTGCCCCACCTTCCTGCCTCTGTATTTCTGCCTCTAACCTCCTGCTCCTGCCCTGGCACCGAACTGACAGGCACATGGGCTCAGCAAGGTGGGTGGCACAGGCGTCAGGGCCACTGATGACGCAGGACCAAGGCACTAATTTCCGTGCAGCTCCCCATGCCTGCATGGTGCATGATGAAATGAGAGGGAAGCAGCCCAACCCTGGCCTCCTATTCCTGATGAGTGTCGTCTTTCTAAGGCGTGTGTGGTGCCTGAGTGGTGTGTAATTTACCTTATGGGCAAATTTCATTCTCTGCTATCACATTTCACCTGCATGCCTCTGACTTTAGATAGGAAGAGCAATGCTGCCAGTATTTGGTACTGATGGAAAACCACCTGGCAGAGCTTCCCAGGTGGTTGTTACTGATGCATTCCACCAGCCAGAAGAATTCCCGCTACTGTCGTTGTCATCTCTGTTTGCTAATTTAATTAAAATATCTGCCTTAGAACTTGAAATGAGATTAGGTTCCTATTACACCAGATGCTGTACAAAATTATGATGGATGAAGGTTTCCAGCCTGAACAAGCTTATGGGTTAATTATATTGCAGAATGACGTCTAAAACCTATTTGTTTAAAAAACCTCTATTGACTGTTTGTGTGTTATTTACACTGGTACTTGCTCTACAGCAGCAATAATTAACATGATAGCATATGTTTTACATAAGCAGAGAAAAAATCTATTCCCAACAATGATAATGTATCCTAGGAAAAAAAAAAGAAAATAAACTTTACTAGCAACTTATTTTCAAATCTTTCTTTGCCTTTCTGTTTAATTTTCAAAGATCATAATATAATTTCATCTGCACTAGTGAAATGAGCTGATATTATTATTTCAAAGCCCAGTCTTTAATTAAGTAGTACCTGCAAATACATAATCTTTCTAACTTCAGAGAGACTATTTTAGAATGATGAAGAGTTATAACTGGCATAGAATTATAGGCAATATTTTGTTTGGATAAAGAAATACAAATCTACAGAAGGAAATATATTAAAAAGAATAAAATTTATGGACTTTGAGGTCAGCAACTAGCTTTGTTAGAATCCAATAGATTGTAATTTTGAAAACAAGGTCATTGTTTAGCAATCAATCTTCATTGTTTTACAGCTCTTCCTCCTCCTCCTCCTCCTCATCATCATTATACGATTCATTAATTACCTTCATTGCTTTTTGAAACCATGGAGGAAAAGAAAAACAACACACAAAGAGATACAGACAGAATTTAGCTATGTAAACCAAACAGATGTCAAAGTCAAGGGGAGGGAGGGGATGTTACAAAGATGAGGAAAACATGACTTAACAGTAGTTGCAGAATGTGGTGTCAGAAAATCGGGAGAGTGAACGTGGATACTCCCAGAGTTTAAGTAGCTTTTCCTCCTCCCTTGTTTGCTCTTCTACTGTCATTGTACATGTCAGTAGTCTGGGTTATGCTTTTCCCTCTCTCCATCATTCCAGCCTGCTGTTTAAGCAAAAAGGAGATCTAGCAACAATCAACCAATGTTATTGCATAGTCCTTATATGGTGACATAGACAGTGGTAACCCATCGAGAGAATAAGGTTCATCCACTTCCATGGAAGAAAAGAAAACTATAAAGACAGATTATGCAATGGGACTCAAAAAAGAAGTTGCCAATTGAGTGTATTCGTGGCATACATCCTCTGTAATCTGTTGAGGACTGGTAGAAAATATCTCAAAAACCAACTAGAAACTCAGTGGAAATTCCCTTTCTCTATTGCTTTGGCTGCAGTGAGTTCAGAGCAAAAGGTGTCAATGGAGGATGTTGTGAAGGTGCCCCTAGGACATGACTGAGTTTGAGACTTGAAGATTTCTACATAGCTGAATGTTTAAACATTAATTAAATGCCTTGCTTAAGCTCGATGCCCCACACGTGGGTATCTAGTGCCATTTTAGATGCCCAGATATGTCCCACCTGGTTCTCAGCTGCTGCTTCATTGGTGCTGGATGCTAGCCCCCTGTAGACATCTTAGGTTTCCTAAGGCACCTCAGGTGGCACTGTGCAAATGGTTCTAAGTATCCACTGACTACAGCCTGAGTTTAACGAGCCGTTCTGGCTTTAGCTGTCATCAGTGCTTAGACATTTGCCATAACTATAAACACCTGCCCATACACATTAAGTTTAAGAGTCTGAATCTCAAAAGTCATCCCACAGTCTAGGTCTTTCAAGATGTACCACTGTTTTCCTATATATTTCTGTGGCACCTGAATTTTTCTAAGTATCTGATTCTGCGTTTCACTTTTTAGCATGATCCCTGGGTTTGGTACCCTTATTATAGGAAATCTACAGCTGTATGCAATAGGAGTCCAGTTTTTACCATCTGCTGCGTGAGTAGACAGAGGAACAGTAGAAAAAGCTTTGGCTTCTGTCCTAAGAAACAATGAAGATTTATATGGCAAGGTGGAGGGATATCAGACACTGGGAGAATGAAGTGGGGTTGAATGACACTCCAAGTCCAGGCATAAGGCTTCATAAATGTCTCAGTTTAAAAGCACCAATATTTTATGGTCACTTTCTATTCAGGACAACCCTGAAAATAACACATAAGCCCTCTTTCTCTTTTCTTCCCTCCAAACAAATGCTTTAAATATAAATATTTTGAATACTAATATTTTTTTTCTGACTGTGGTTTTAAGATGACGGGCAGAACCAAAAAGGGTTTGAGATAGAGATGTCAGAACAGATTACAACATCCCAAAGCTATAGCTCATTTGTACTAGTAGAGGAAACTTTTCTTGTCATGCAAAAAAACCATAACAGTAAGATAAGAAAGAGGGAAAAGAGTTGTACCATTTAGTCTATTGCATACATTAAAATATGCAGCTGCTACAACAATCATGGTATTGCAGTGATTTCTGACAGAATATCTGCTGTGCAGTTCCATTATTTTGTCACATGTAGGGCCTGATTCATTTGCCTAATACATTTAGTGAAAAATTGACCACTCTTTTCAGTAGGCTATGGGGCATCTGCTGCTTTCTCACTACTAGTTAAGTGCTTTCTGTAGCTGTTTCTTCTTTTAGTGTTTGTCACTCAGAAAATACGCAGCTGACTATAGGACAGAATGAGGTTTTTTAGAAGGCACTAAAAACTTGAACAACCTTCAAACCTAATAATAGTTTTACATACCATTAATAGATAAAGAAGACAAAATTATTAAAGTTGTCATTTGGCTGCTTGTTAATTTTTATAGAAGAGTTATAACTGCTTACTACAATTATTTTTTCTGATAAAGCGTTCATAAGAGTGAGGTAGAAAATAACTCCCTTATGAATAGTACAAAATTTTACCATGCAACTCACAGAGATCTCAACTTATCAACATCTGCAGTTTTAAAATTGGCCTCATGAAAGCACATAAACATAGTTGAAGAACACTGAGAACCTACGCTGACATTTTTTGCTCAGCCCAAGTATGTAAGCATGTGTTATGTCTGTAAGCAGACGTAATCATTTCTTAGGAAACAAGCAAACAAAAGAGCACGTGGAACCTTAGGATTGTCAGGGAAAATAACTTAAAAGAATAAAACACAAAACATCATAGCACCTGTTGATATCTGGAGTTGGAGCACCCAGTGGTCTCATCCCTATGCCTTTTTGTATTTAAAAACTGACTTTAGCCCTATGTAACTTTGTAAATCACCACCATCTGCACTGTGTAAAAATAAGACAATTACCTGTGAAGAAAGTTTCTTCAGAAACTGGCAGCAACTTTTTCAGGATAGTATGGACAGGATCCTGTTTTGTAGCTGATTACAACCAATTTTCAACTGCTTGTTGGCACCACATAACAAATGCAAGACTTCAGTAAGGCATATGTGCTAGGACAAATGTTGTGGAAGGTGAGTCACAGGGTGGCATGGCTATTTAAACCTGGGATCTGCCCAACCCAGCTGTTTAAGAAAAAATAGAAAATAAGAAGAGAAATACTATCTAAGTGGGTGTTAAAGAATATTAGTAAGGAATGCTATGATATAGGCTACAATATTTTCTACAGTGCATGGGAAAGCTCTGGTCCTTCCTGGTACAAGTCTACTGTAGATGTCCTGGAACAAAATATCTCATGAGTTAAGATTCGTTTTGCAGCTTTCCTGAACCAGCTGTAGGAGAATACATAGATCAAGGAATTGCAGGCAGAATTGAAGTAAGCAAACCAAATTAGGATGTCAAACAGAACTGGGGGGGTAATGAAATCCAGAAGACTGTCTACCATGGTGTCAATAGTAAAGAGCAACCAGTGCAGCAGGTAGACTTCTACAGCTACCCCAAGAGTCTTCACTGCTTTCCTTTAACTCTTGGAGGCTCCTATGTGTGGCTGAGACCCGAGACTCCTGTTCATGTTGTTCATCAGCCTGCTTGCTTGTTAACCACAGTAAATATTTTTACATACAAAACTATTGTTATGAATCAAAGGAAGAAGAACACCAGGAAGTTCAACCACCCCCAGAGCTTGTTAAACAGCAGCTGACAGCTACCAACACAGGGCACATCCTGCAAAAAATGGCCCAGTCCTTCTGCAATCGCATTAGTGTAGAGGAAGACAGAGGTATAAACCATAGGCATTACGCACCCCACCCCAATGTAAATGCAGGCCACTCTTACAGTGAACTTTGTTGGGTAGAGCAAAGGGTCACAAATGGCACAATGTTGATCAATGGAAATGAAACACAGATGAAATACGGAGGTCAAGCAAAGGAGTGTGTCCAGAAAGGTGTGCAGCCTACAGAAGTCATCTCCGAAACACCAGCAGCTCTCTACAGACTGGATGGGGCTAAAGGGCAGGACCGTCAGCCCCAGGAGGAGGACACCAAGGGCAAGGGAGAGGAGCACGAGGTTGATGGGGGTGTGCAGGGCTTTGAAATGGGAAATGACAAAGATGACAAGCAGGTTCCCCAGCACCATGATCAGCATGCCCAAGGCACAGGCCAGGTAAATGCCCAGCTGGATCCCGTAGGGGTGTAAGGTCCTGTAGCAGGAGCTGTTTGCCTCGTAGCACAAGGTGGTGAGCACTCCCTCCTCAGCACTGGTGTCCTGGGCTGACCTCATGCCAGTCTGCCCCACTCCCACCACTTCCCAGGGCTCTGCCATGAGCCTGGACAAGGATTCACCTTCCAGCAGAGGTGCCAAGTGACTAACCTGAAAAAAGGTAATAAAAAGGCAGGTTAGAAGGAGAGATGTCTTTTAATTATATTTTTTAAAGCCATTGGACACTTTCCGTATTTCAAATTAAAAGATGAGCCTGATTTATCTATTTTATATCTCTGTTGACACAAAGCAGTTCCAGATCAGTGTATTCAATTTTTGTGGCATCTTTTTTTTATATTACATTTTAGTTTTCTTTCACCCAATACCATGAGTAGTGCAGGAAATGCAGCAAATCCAGAGGCGTGTGGGCAAGCAGTCAATAAGGAGAAGGTCTGCCTTAGAAGGAAAACGAGTGCTGACTAACAAGCATTGCAAGCCAAAGCTCCTTAAGGGATATGAAAGCTGATTCTGGCATAATGGTACACTAGTTCTTGTGACTTTCCCTGCAAATGAAGTTCCAATTTAGTTACAGCTCTTTTTATTAAGTAGAAGCTGTTAAGCAATTATTCTAAAACAAGTAATATTTGATTGCAAAGGCAAACCCCTCAGGGCAAGTTACTAATTTTGTAGTGGGGCTGTGGGGATATGGATATCCATTGTGTTGATGTCATAAATATTCAGCAAGGCAAACAGAAATATTATTATATGCCCTAAAGATTGACCCTGCTTTTTACTTATAAAATTGCTATTTAAGTTTTAAGTTATTAAATTTTTTAATTTGAACTGTAAGAAATATATAATATTAATGGATTATAATGTTTTTTTTCCACTAGTCTTTTTAATAAATCAGATAACTGAACAGTATGTTTTCTAACAGTGAGACAACTACAGTTAAATGCATGACATTTTTCCATATGTACTTTTGTTCTTGAAATGACTGGTATAATAGCTGGAAATCATTCCCACCTTTCCCATCCTTCCCAGCAGCACCACCACATAATAGCAAATCTCTCTTAGTTTTATTTCTATAGACTTTTAAATCAGGACTACTTACAGTAAATGTTTCTTTTCATAGAATGAGAGCTGTACCGCAGTACACTGAAATCCTTTTCTAAGTACATATCTACTGCCTGAGTGGAAAGTGTGAGATGTTATATAAACCAGGCGGAGTGGGAGTCCCTATAGGTGACTGATATGCCTTAGGAGCATAGAGAGACAGTTGCGTATTTGGCAAAAATTGCCATTTTCTAAGAAGTTGAAGTGCTCATGTCCTCAGCTGCTGTTGAGTGTCTGAAGATTTATATCAGAGTTTGCTGTGAATTTTCTTTATTTGAGTGTTCCTGCAAGAATATGCAGCTAATGCCAGCTCATGCTGGGACATCAGTGACCCTCGCCCCGTGGAGGCCTCCTTTGCCTGCTCCTGAACCTCCATCTCCCCAAAACCATGTCTTTCACTTCAGAAGGAGTTACATCAGGTACCTCCGGATTTTCCTTTCTTCCCCTGTAGCAGTTCCCATTTCTAGCCCACTGTATAAGCTGGCAAAAGAGGTGTGTATATGGCAGCCCTCACTCCTGGGTGAGTTTGTGATATTTCTTTGTCACAGTGGAATGGTCTGTTTTAACGTGGGCATTACACAGACAGATATCACTCAGGAAAGTCCTGGATTTTTCACCCTATGCAGAGTATGGCATTTTAAAACAAGCTTCACACTTCTCAGGGAAAGATTTCCTGGTGCTCAGATCCTCCACTCTTGTGTCCTGCTCAGTCAGCGCAAGCTCACACCAGCTTCTTAAGGGACTCCAAGTGGTACATCTCTCAGAGCTTGTCTTCTTCTTCACTGCTCTGCAATTAGTTTTTTACAGTCGTCCCAACATAACTGCTCTCCTTCATCTTCCCTACTTTGAGTTTCTTCAGTTTAAGAAGTTGCCTGCTGTCCACCTCCCCTCCTTCTTGATGTTTTTGAGGCACTGTGTGGCAAAGGCTGCTGAGGCCCAGCTGAGGCACTGTTAGAATAAGGCTGTGGCAATTTTTAGACTGAATTTTTATTACAAGAAAGAGCTAAAGTCAGCATCAGTTTCCATATCATTCTGTTTTATGACAAGATATGAGTAGCAGCTATTACTATATTGAAAGCTCCTACAAGAGCAAGATATTTTTATTTTTATCAGTTTTACTTCAACAACAATTTAAGGTGATGTTTCCATACTATTAAAAATCCAAGTGCAAAAAAGTATAAATTGGGCATAGTTCTCTGAAATACCGTGCCTAGCTGGAGACTTGATATAAAACGTCAAAGAAATTTGTTTCTCCTTTTCTTATTTCCACATTTTAATAAGTAATTGTTTATATTAAGATAGTCAGAGGCTTTTGGCTAGCTCTTGATATTAACAATAGGTTTTTTGTCCTTGGTGCTCTTTTTCATTAGTTTTCATTCTTCCTGTATTTTATATGCAATAAAGTATGATTCTCATCCAAGTACTTTGTCATTCAGATGCCAAGTGAAATCATGTACTTGTCAAAATACTTACCCTATATATATAGCTATCTATCATGATGATGCTTCTTATCACCAGCCCTAAAGGGAACAATATGTAACAGAATGATCTCAGCTTGCCCTTCTTGCACACATTACTTGTTGGAATCACTTTGCATTTTTTCCCATCTTCTCATCTGGTTATGGGAAAAGAGACCAGTTCATGATTAAGAGAAGGCTCAAACAGTGACAATGTAGGTCTTCATACTTTGGAACAAGAGCTTTCTAACCTGTATCAACTTTGAAGGTAAGAATGCTGTCATAAAATGAAGAATGCCCATCATTGTCAAGATGTTCCTTCTCTTTACCCTTCCTTCTTCAGACAAAATTGCTGGATATCATCTCAAAATGAACTTCTGTTGAATGTATGATGTGACCTAGTATTCAGTAGGAAAACACAAAAAGCCATAGAAGAGAAAGTGTATTAACCGCTATGATCTGATCTCCTGCAGTGAAGACATGCATAGCCAATATATTCTTGTAATTGAAACTGCTGCATATAAATTCTCAAATCTAAATTCCTCTAAGTAACCTCTGAGTCTGAGTTCCTTAAAATAGAACAAGGCAGTTTCAAAGGATTATTGACTTTCTAAGAGGGCCATCATCAGTGCCCCTTGTCCGTGAAATTTTTCCTCACAGCTTCCGAAAGAGTCAGTCTGGGATCTCTAAATAGAATATAACAGTATGAGGAGGCTATGGGCTTACTAAGATGACCTACATTTAGCCAGTGAACTTAAACCTCAAATATTCCATCACGTATATCATAACGGTGGTATGGCACTATACAGCCATAATGGTGTATAGTGCAGCCTTTTGCTGCACTCCCTTGTAGTATTGACCAGTGATCATCTCTGAAGAAGTCAACGTATCTTATATGTATACGTTTTTCTTTAATTTTATTGATCTTCTTACCCTTTTATTTTCTCCCTTCTTTTCTATTTGTCAAATTTGAAATTAATAATATCATATAGTGAAAAATCCTAGTGGTTCATCATCTTCAAAACATTCCCTCTCAGCATTTTTTCTGTCCAAACTTCTTTTCTGAAAGTGACCCCCCAAATGGAGTTTTTAGTGAACTGTTTAGTGATGCAGCAAAGGAATTGCAAAAGATATGACAGAAAAAGTCAAAATACACACAGAAAAAAGTTGAATGTGACACACTCTGGTTCAAGAGTTCTCTGCAGAAGAATTCATTGATAACAGGTGTTAAAGGCAATCTTAAGACTGCAAAAGAGGACTGCAGGTACAATCTGCACTGGGAGTCCTTCCCCAGAGCTCCCAATTCCCTTTGCTTTTGTTTACAGTGAACAAAACACATGGCAACTGGGAATAACCTAACCAAAACAAGCAATTAGGGGCCCGTTAATTCACATTTTAGAAGAAAAAATAGAAAATTAAGCTATTTTAAGTTGTTAAAAAGGAGATGGAGAGGGAGAAGTAAGATGTTGTATTGCATAGCACTGGCAGAACAAAATGGATGAAGAAATACAAGCCACCGAGTAGTCTAGCCTGTAAAAAGCATCAAATGGCCTTCAGCCATCTGGATATGGCCCATGCTAAACTGCCTTCTTATACTGGGCAATTTTTTAGTGGCACAAATTGGGCAGAAGTGGCCTAACTCCTCTGGGCATGGGCAGCTCCTGTCACCCCAGGTAGCACAAGGAGCAGGAGAGCACACAGCAGGTTAAAGCAGACCTCCCTGTCACCTGTCTTCTTCTGGTTGGAGGCACCTGCACATCACTGACCTGCAGCCAGACTGCTGATCCCAGACTGGGCAGGTATCACTCACTCCCTGCCATTTCCACCAAAGGCAGCAGAAATGGCCACGCAGTTTCTTCTTTGCTCAGCCAGTGTGGTGTCTGCAAGACTGGAGGGAATGTTCTGGTCCTGGACCATTCCATGGGTATCAAACATAATTTTCAAACTCATTAGAAACACATTTTCTTCCTGCCTGACTTAGAAATGTGACACTGCTGGTAGTGGTACTTGAATGCTGAATTGTCACAACAAGGAATAAAAAACACATCTCTGCCCGTAATAATATTAGAAAAGCCAGACGCACTGGAATGTCCTGCTTCCTCAAATAGGAGCACACTCCATTTGTACTCACACAACAGAGCAGCTACATGGCAGTACCCAACAGTCACTTTGGTGTCCTGACTGTGGGGAAGGGGCACAGTGTGGTAACCCCTCGGAAGATAGAATTGAACCTTAACCCATGAAAAATTTGACAAATACGGAGATGTTTTTAATTTACATTTTATTTACTCCCTGTTTTAAAATCTAGCCTTTAATTCCTCTGAGAGAATGTACCCACCTTCATAGATGACTATTTTGATGATATTTTCCTAAACAGTGCAGGGCAGCACATGGAAAGAGAGGCAGTTGTTCAGAGACTAGACCATCATACCCCAAATTAACCCACATTTAAAATATTTTTCAGTTACAGAGTGAAAAATTACATTCATAAAAGCAGACTGAGGTTGA